CCCCCCCCTGCCCGGTGGCCCCCCTGCCACTGCCTGCCTCCCTCTGCCTCCTGTTGCTATGGTTTTCTCTTCTGCCTCCCCCAGTGCTTCATGAACTCCATCCTGCAGTGCCTGAGCAACACCAAGGAGCTGCGGGATTACTGCCTGCAGAACCAGTACCTGCGGGACCTCAACAACAACAGCCGCATGCGCACTGCGCTCATGTCAGGTAACTGTCGGCCAGCGGCCCCTGGCTCCACGCCTTGCAGGGCTTCTGGCCTCCCATCCCTGCAGCACATCCTCACTGCCCTGGGCCACCCCATGTCCTGGGGGACCCCCACCCAGAGATCGGTGCTTCTCCTCAGCCTTGCTGGGGCAGGCGCTGTGCTGTGGGTGCTGTGCAGTGGGAGGATCGGGTCCCCTCTCCAGAGAGGATGGGGGAGGCCACAGGGGCCCCAGAGGGGGGGGAGCGGCTCTCCGCTGGGGTGCCGGCGGGCCGGGCTGCCGCCAGCCTTGCGTCTGCCCTGCCTCTCTGCCCGCAGAGTTTGCGAAGCTGATTCAGTTGCTCTGGACCTCGTCCCCCAACGACAGTGTGAGCCCCTCCGAGTTCAAGACGCAGATCCAGAGATATGCTCCCCGCTTTGTCGGCTACAAGTAAGGGGTGTCGATGCAGGGGTGGCAGGGGGGACCTGAGCCCCCGCCACCGCTCACTGGCCGTGCCCTGTGTCTTGCAGCCAGCAGGATGCACAGGAATTCCTGCGGTTCCTCCTCGACGGGCTGCACAGCGAGGTGAACCGTGTGCTGGTGCGGCCACGGGCCAGCACAGACACCCTGGACCACCTCCCGTAAGTGCTGGCTGGGGCGGAGGCAGTGGATGAGCCTGACGGACAAGCCTGCAAGCCCGGCCCGGGGACAGTGACCGCGCAGGTCCCTCTGGGCTGGGTCGTGGGGGCCAGCGTCCCCCAGGCCACCCTCAGGACCGCTCTGTCTCCCCATCTCTTACAGTGATGACGAGAAGAGCCGCCAGATGTGGAGGAGGTACCAGGAGAGGGAGGACAGTCGCATTGGTGGTGAGCGGGGCTGTGAGGAGAGGAGGGCAGGGCTGGGCTGAGAGTGGGGCTGGGAACTGAGGGTCTCACCCTGCTTTGTCCCCTCCCCACCAGACCTCTTCGTTGGGCAGCTGAAGAGTTCGCTGACCTGCAGCGAGTGTGGCTACTGCTCCACAGCCTTCGACCCCTTCTGGGACCTGTCCCTGCCCATCCCCAAGGTAAAGGGTCCCTGCCGACCCCCAGCCCACTGCGCTGCACGCCCTGTCCCTGACCTGCTCTGTGCCCCCACAGAAAGGCTACGGGGAGGTGACCCTCATGGACTGTCTACGGCTCTTCACCAAAGAGGACGTGCTGGATGGGGACGAGAAACCGGTATGGGCCATGGGGCACGGGGACAGGTGGGCCTCCCTCCACGCCTGCCTTGCCAGGACTGGGGGCTCGGTGCCTGGTGGGGCTGGCCTCTGTCCTCACCCTCCTGCTCAAGCTGTTTGTCTCCCACAGACGTGCTGTCGCTGCAAAGCCAGGACGAGGTGCACAAAGAAATTCAGCATCCAGAAGTTCCCCAAGATCCTGGTGCT